CCGGAGCGCCTGTGGACCACCCTCGCCAGGCCGCGCCCTTGATGTCAGCTCTAAAGCATCTCCTTGAAATCGGCTTTGGCTGCCCCAGGCAGATGTAAATTCTCCTTCCTCTTTGCAATGTGTATGTCATCTCTTCATTTTGATCGCTTTACACGCCCCCACCCCCTCTTTTCTTGGTTTAACAACTTTCTCACGCGAATGCAAACTACTTGAGAAAGTTTACTTTTTTGATAGCTTTTATCATATGCTGCTTTTATGATCTCCTCGTGGCCTAGCAGAGATCGGATTCGCGAAAAACATCCGATGAATGGATGAACAACTGTATGACAGCCAAACAGAAAGAACTCTTTACTGGGAGAAAGATAACTTTAAAATAGTTTTATTCTGAAACAAAGGTGCAGATTATAGTTAATACTGTATTGAAAACGAAATTTTCTAAGTAGACACACACAAAAAGGTAATTATGTGAGGAAATGGATCATTTCATTATGTTGCACACTTTAAATATAAAGTTTTTATTTTAAAAAGAGATCAAAAAAAGAAAACAAAAATATTCTTTATGAGATCAGATGCCTGTACCAAAAATGAAAAGGTTTTTATCCTTCGGATTGTCAAACCTTGTTATAAGAAACGTTTCATTCCTAAAACGTAGAGACTGTTAATGAGGCATACATGTGGATTCACCATCCAGACATGGCAGACCTTGCCGTCTTCCCATTTTTGTTTCCAACTTTGTTTTTTTGTTTTGGGCTTTTTAAAGAAATAAAACTATGGAAACAAACTTGAAGTTCTCTGTGTTCCCCTCCCTAAATTATTCACTTCAGGATACTACCTTGAATTGAGAGTTAATCATTCCTGAGCCTGTTGATTGATTGCTGATAGTTTATGCATCCATAAACAATAGTGTTGGTGTTATGCACGTTTTAAAGCTTTATATAAATGACATCCTGTATGTATTGTTATGAAAGTTATTTTTTCCCCTCATTGTATCCATGTTGATATATGTAGCTTTAGTTCATTTTTACCTTTGTGTAGTATGCTGCTGAATTAGTTTACCGTTGCATGCCCATTTTCTCAAAAATGGACATTTAATTTTACATTTTTATGGTAAGAAACAATGTTGTAAGAAATATTCTTCTATATGTATCTTATACATGTGAAGAAGTTTCTTTGGAGAATATATAAACGAATAAAGTTGAGATTCAGGGATGAGTGTCTTCAGGCTTTGCTAGATATTGCCAAATTGCTCTCCAAGTCCACCAGTTGGCTCTCCCGCCAGCGAAATGAGAATTCATTTTGATCCATATCCCTCTCAAAACTTGGTGTCCTGAGACATTTTCAAAGTTTTTAGATCAGATGAGTGAATGGAATTTCATTGTGCCTTTAATTTGCATATCTCTGCTTACTAGGGAGTATCTTTTTTATGTGCTAATTGACCTATTATATTTCTACTCTGTGAATTGCATATTCGTATCCTTTGCTCATTTTCTTATTGGGAATTTTTTTTAGTAATTTTTAAAGAAGATATTTATATATTCAAGACACTTGGGTTATCAGTTATAATGCAATGAAAATATTTATTTATTTATAAAGCTTCTATCTCCTTAGGAAACAGAGCTCTAATGAGTGTCTATTACAGCTTACAGAGAACTTCAGTCTTAGGTCACAGCGTTCAGAGCTCCTGGTTTTGATTCCACAGACTCTTTGAAATGGCCTATATGAAAATAATTTTCCAATCAGTGGGTCATCTGTCCCTTTTTTTGTGGCATCATCTGTTGTACAGAAGTTAACTTTAAAGGAGTCAAATGTATCAGCCTTTATGTTTTGTGCTTTTTGCATTTGTTTTAAAAAATGAAATCAAGTAAAACTCTTTTCTATCCTTGGGCCATAAAAAAGAGTTTTTTCATTGTCTTCTAAAAGTTCTACAATTTTGGTTTTTTTTTTAATATTTATTGTTTTAATCCACCTATAAGTTCTTGTTTTGCTTTGTTTTGCTTTAGGGCAGCTATTTTCAGCCGGAACACTGGCAGGAATTTTTAACACATGCAGTACCTGACTATTTAGTCAGGGGCACTGACCTCTTTTCCCTTAGATTGTTAAATAAAAAAATGACAACAGCGAGCACAACAATAGCCATCTGGTGAGAATGAATCAAAATTACACCTTTTTTTTTTTCAGAACAGCAAAAAATATTTTTTTGGTGTCCCATAGAATTTTAGTGATTAGTTTATGTGTGCCAGGAGATGAAAAAGGTTGAAAATTGCTGCTGCAGGAATCTAATTTTTTAATACTTCCCTCTATGGTTAACTAGTCCAGTGATAACCAGTCATTCACTAGACGGTACATCCTTTCCCTACTCATCCTTTCGGCTTCTGTTGTTTAGGGATAGGCCTGTCTCTGGGCATTCTGTTTCATTAGTTTCTTAGTCTGCGCCCCCAGTAGTACCCCAGGACCTTAACTTCTTAATTATTGTACCTTTATAATAGGTCTCGATATCCGACAGGGTGAAAGCCTATACAGTTTTCTTCTTTCATAAATGTTTTAACATTTTTGATTCTTTGCTCTTCTACGTGAATTTAGAATTTTCAGTAAAGTTCTTATGGAAATTGCGATTGACCAGTTAAACAAAGCCATGAAAATTAATATTATTTCCATATCATTACAAATGATTCTAAGGATATGAGCGAATTCCTCAAATTCAAAGCAATACATATATGTGTATTAATTAAGAGCCAAGGTGTATTAGTTTGTTTGTGCTTCCAAAACAAACTGTCACACAGAGTGGCTCAAACAACAGAAATTTATTTCCTCACAGTTCTAGAGGCTGCTAGAAGTACAAAATCAAGGTCAGGGTGGGGTTGATTTTATTTTGAGACCTGTCTCCTTGGCTTCCTGATGGCCATTTTTTCTCTGCATCTTCACATGGCTTTTCCTCTGTGTGTGTCTATGTCTTAGCCTTCTCTTATCTCCAAATGTAGTCACATTTTGAGTTACTGGTGGTCAGGACTTCAACATATGGATTGTGAGGTGACATAGTTCAGCTGTGGAATATATGATAACTTGTTTCTTTTTACAAAATTTAAATTTTATTAATTAGCTTTGTAAAAATAATTTAGGTATGCGAAAGGATTTTATTTGTTAAAACAGACAATCCCAATATTTACAAGAAAATGTAATATATTACATTAACAAGTGTGATTTTAAATGTTTAAGAGTTGAAATTGGGAGTAGAACTAATTTTA